ACAACGCTCTCAGCACACCTCTCACATACACGCTTCTCACACACGCTATCACAACACCCTCTACACACGCTGCTCACACACCTCTCACACAACGCTCTCACACCACGCTCTCACACACGCTCTCACACACGCCTCTCCTCTACACACGCTCTCCCTCAACACACGGCAGTCTCTCCACACGGTTGAGCAGTCACGCTCTCCACACAGCGCTCACACACGGCTCTCACACACGCTCTCACACACGCTCTCACACACGCTCTCACACACCTCTCACACACGCCGCTCACACACGCTTCACACACCCTCTCACACACGCTCTCACACACCGCTCTCACACACGCTCTCACATCACACACGCTCTCACACACGCTCTCACACACGCTCTCACACACGCTCTCACACACGCTCTCACACACATTCTCACTTCCCGCCGCCTCTCTCATCCCCGCTCTCCCGTCGCACTCGTGCCCGCACTCGCGCCCGCACTCGTATGATTCGTTTATGGTTATCACACAGAGAGTTAGCATTTCCGGTTACACAGAGTTCGCAAGCTCTCAGAAGAGGCTTGTCGGCACTTGCCTTTGATTTTAACTCCGAAATATATTCACCAATTCTTATATCAGGAAATACTGTCCCTTACAAACATTTGAAGAATCATTCAATAATTAAATTCATAAAATCGCCAAGGCAAAACTGTTTATCTTGATACATGCAGAGTTAAGTTGACATTTATGTTTCGTTCGCCATTTGAATAAAATAGATATGAACAACAAAATACCATTTTACCAAACGTGGCATCAGGCGCGGACTAATTGACCAGGGGGACCAAACCATTGTATGAAGTGGTATGAATGCCATAAACTTTAGATAGAGGTAGAAAAATTATAAAACTGTCAAAATTAACTGAGTGGATAGCATCGATCTTCAAACTTCCGCAGATTGAGCGGACAGATAACGTTCAGATTATTTCTACAATAAAGGTGCAAGGCACTTTTCTTGTATTTCTGAAAATGCGCAATTTGAGCTCATTTTTACACAAAACGCGTGAGTTATAAATAAACATCAGAAATCATTTGAAAAACTTGTTTTCACAACTTCACTTACGTGTAAAAACCCTGGTTATACTATAAATTTTATCGCCATAAGGTATATAACATAAAACATACATGTGTGTAATTTAAAAAACAATTAAAAGGTCACATTAAAATAGATTTGATTACATATTATTCCATGCAGTTAGCCCTACTATCATGTGATAGTCATAGTTTTAAATTTAATTTTAATAAATTTAAAAATATTATTTATCGACCATATCACAGAACAAATACCTTTACGAATTACAAAGGTTTAACTTTCGACTTCGAACGATTTAAAATGAACACAAAATACCCTTTGTGTAAAAAAACTTAGTTTGTAAAAAAAAGTCCTACTTGGGGATCGTCGCAGGTGCAGAAGGTGTAATTAGAATAGTGAAAACAGTAGTAGTTTCACACATTCAACAATTTTAGAGAAAGAAATTTCCAGAATTTAAGATATCTTGTGTGCGATGTCTCACCACAAAACGTAGCTACAGTCGATAATACGAAGTTGTTGTACAAGTCGCGAAATAAAAAGCACATTAAAAAGTCGATGACACTGTGCGCAGACGTGTTGCATTGGGTCCCTGGAATTCCCGATTGCGTCATCATCGCGCTTGTCAGTCCTGAGTGCGTAGTGACCACGTAAACTTGCGTAGAACAAGTGTCTGGTGGTACGTGCTGTCATCCTGTTTCTTCATGCTGAGTGGTGCAATGCAGCCAAATTCATTGGCAAAACTTTGATAAAACGTTTCGCACAGAAACGTACGATAATAGTGGGGTAACTTAAAAGCAGAACATGAAGACTCTTATGGCGCAGGGGTTGAGCAATCTCTTTATTTCCTGACCACCTGCAACATGAAAATCTGTATGTTCTGCTTCAAAGTTACTGCATCATTATCGCACTTTGTTGTCACTAATGAAACTATTGCTCAAACTCATTCGTCAATCAATTGCAGTGTAACCCCTCAGCATGAAGAAATCGAATGGCAGCACGCTCTGCACACTTGGCAGGAGAGAATATTGTTCAAGGCAAAATTCGCATGCGGAACGTGCCCCGTTTATTAGGGAACTGCTCTGGCATTCGCCTGGTATCGATCAGAGAGACCTCGGAAACCCAGTGATCAGAGCAGCCGTCCCCTAGAATTCTCCTTCAGACAAACAGCTGAATTCGACCTAGCTATTTAGCTAGTTTCGAAAATCCTGCCACCGTTACGACCCAAGTTCTGCGACCTCCCTGACAGAAGCTCAGCGATGACTTCAGTTGAAATCCTGAGCCACCTAAACCTCTATATGCCTAAACCTCTATATGCCACCTAAACCTCTATTTAATTTGAGAGTTCAGTATTATGTGCTAAACGGCTTTTATTTATCAGATTTCAATAATATTCAGCTCTCTTTTTTTAAAAATCTTTTGTTTTATCACTAGGATGATTATATATTGCTGGAATTTGCATTTTATTTGGTATTTTAAAAATATTTTAACTTTTCACTGTTATTGTAGGGGGTACGTTCATAAAAGCATTTGGTACGGGCGCGAATCGTAATTTTTATAACGCTTCAACATCTATGGTTTCGTAATACTGATCTGTTGAAAGTCATTAAAAGAAAAATATATATTCCTTACATATTATAAGACATTTTTCGATTATCTTTGTGTTGTGCAACCGTGCAACCTAAGCACAAGCCACCACTAGCTCCCATTATCAGTCGCCAGATGCCCCTTTAAAGAAATTCTTGAAGATAAGTTTCTCAAATATTCAGCAAATCGTACTGGTCACAAAACTTGTTTTATTACGCTATTTTACATAATTCGTTACTCAGTTTAATACTCAGTAATCCAATATAATTATCAGTTAATAGGATTTCTCAGATAGATGACTTATTCCATGTTCTTGTCAATAACGTCAACAATTAACCCTTCTCCGTCCCAACTGCTGTAGTTCATCCCAGATATGTGATTCCTACATTTACAATTATCATTATTATTTTTTTATAGAAATATTTTAAACGTTTTTAATTTTTCGTAATATGGACATTTAAACATATTGCGTACTTTTGCAAATTGAGTCAAGCTGAAAGTAAGGGAATATGCCTCCATTCCCCCCCCCCCTAAGGTACGCCTGCGAGAGCGGTGGGCGGTGGCGTCTGTAGGCTGCGAGCGGACGGTTCCTCCGTGGCACTCAGCCGCGCACCTCATCCGGCGGCGTCGTATTTCTCCCACCCCCTCCCCCCCCTTCCCCACCTCGCTCCGCCACGCGCTGGCGCTACGAGCGGCGCGCTCACCATTCCATTAGGAGCCCCTTCGCATTCCGTCTTGATGCCCCTCGCCCCCCCCACCCGAATCAGATCCCGCGTGCTGCTGACCGGCCCCCGCGAACGCACCCCGCCTTCCGCGCCCCGGCCGCAATCGAACTCAACTTAACGCTCGATTTCTCCTACCGGACAGAGGCACCCGCCGCCGATGTCCGTCGCTCCGACTCCAGCCGGATCTTGGTACCGGCAGCCGGCAACGCAGCAGCGCTCAAGCCAAACAGCACTACCAAAGTTGAACCACACCCGCCAAGCCCAGCCGACGGCACCACCGAAGGTGACACAATATTCCCCGGGGGCGGGACCAGAGCATGTTGTGAACACGAGCGAGCGAAAGTTGACCTGTCCGAAATGCTCTTGGTTTTAATCGATTTATACTGAATGTCCCAGCTGTGGCTCAAGGGCTAAGAGAACAAATAAGTGCTGTCGGTGACTAACAGAAATTAATGGCCGAAAGTTGCATTTTATCCAGTCATCTGAGAGGCCACCACGAGTCCGGGACGAAATATATGAGTTCTCTATTCATATAACCTTAGCCCGTGTGTGTGTAAACATATGCGTCTTACGCTTATATGGAGGGCTATATCCATACAGTTAAAGAGTGGCCTGACTCACCTGATGATCGCACTATGTATTCATTAAGAATGTACAAGTGTGGAGAGTAACGCGGAATATGGCGCCTCTCCGAATGCGACCAGAGCGTTTAAATGTTTTTAGTTCAGCCCGTCGATTCCAATTATTGATCTCGCATGAAGGCCGTGCCAGCGCGTGTTAACGGTCCTTCTCCGGAAAGGTCCCGTAGCTTGACTTGGACCAGAAGGGCGGCGTCTCATGATCCCTTGTACAGCTCTCAGGAGTATGAGGTGAGCATAAACCGTCTACCATTTATTTCATGAAACATATACGGTACTTGAATAAAACTCAGATATATCTCTGGTGAATATTTGCCTGGTTTTTTTTAATGAAGGTATGAAGCACATAAGCCCGCCGTACTAGTGGCCTACACAATGGCGTTCTATATGTGAGCGCACAAGGTTTACTGTATGTACGGAGTGAGGAGACCGGAAGTATATATAAAATAATTTATTATTTTTTTAAGGTTACACGACAGAGTGAGCTAGATGTGCTAGTTAGCGAGTAGTTGTAGCGATGCACCTATCCGTAACTTCCGGAGCGACCTTATCATCAGAATTAAATAAAAAGCAGAGTCATTAACAATGAGCGGCTTATGTAATCCCGTCACCAACCACCTCCTGTGCCTAATAGCGAGTTGGATTGTCATTGTCTGAGCGTGTCACAACACACTATGGTCCATACACCCCGCTAGTGTCCCTGATCGCGTTAACGGTTACACTATATCTATTCATACTCTCCCTTGTCATGCGCTCATCCGCCTGTTCCGCCCCCGCTGCCGCCCGCGGCCCCCCCCGCCGACTCCCGCTCCCACATAGCGCGCAGGCGCTGAGCGAAGCCCTTTACCGGCGCGGCGCCCGGATTGAGGCGGGCCAGAGGGCGGTAATTGCGCATCATGGGATACGGTGGCAACTGCACGAGGTAGGCGGGGACGAAAACAGCCGCGACCAAACGTTTCTCTGTCCCACGACTGCGCAGTTAGCGGGACATGGATAGGCGAGCAGCGGATGGCACACTATGAGGGCGAACGGAGGGTGAGCGCTGAACGGGGCGAAGGAGGTCGGGCGAACGGCGGGCTCGTGGATCGATGGCATAGGGGCGCCGGGCAGGGAGCCATCCTGTTATCGAAGGGCGAAGCGGGGCATGGCGAAGAGGAACGTGGGAAGGGAAAGGGCAGGGCGGGGCCCAGCCGGTGCGCTGGGACTTGCAGCCCTTGGACACCGCCCCTTGGGAGGCCTCCTGCACAATACAACGCCCAGCGCCTGCAACAAATTTTGAGAAGATATTCGGGGCCTCTGACCTGAGTCTCGATCGCCCTTTTTTCTGTAGTTTGGCCTCCATCTACTGGGCTCAGCTTGTCCCTCGCTTGGTTTTGCATCCTAAATGTAGGTTTTCTACACGTGAAGGTTTTTCAAGGGATTTTTACGGCTTTGTATGTTAAATAAAGACAATTGAGCAAACACTAAATAAGTGCATCCAAAATTTTGTAATTGTCGTTACTAAACAGGACATTTTGAGAGCATGATTTAAAATTTATATTGCTGGTTTATTCCATTCAATTATTTTCTCTCATTTTCATTCACATTTTTATTGGCTACTTTATATGATTGTTATTGTTAATAATTTTTTATATTAATTTGCCTAATGTGGCCCAAGAGATAATTAACAAAAACGAAAATGTGACTTTCGTTTCCATGTACATTTGTGCCGAAATGACGTTGCAAAGTGCAAACATAGCTGGTCCGGAGGGCGGAAATCGCTGAAGCAGTTGCGCCGTAGCGATCTCGGACTAAAGGATCGCGGGATCGTGTCCCGCCTCGGGCATGGTTGTATTGTGTTCGTCCTTTCACCCCCTATCATCGTCATGTCGTGTCATCCTCACAGTTACCATACCGCAACACGCAATGGCGGTCGCTAAAGACCTAGAATTTGATGCGACCTAAAATAAAAAAGTGCAACCATAGAGAAGCGTCAACAGGGCGGGAATAATTAAATTTCACGAACAGTATTGCACAGCGCAGGGATAAGATCGGCTTAGGTATCTCAGGGCATCACTGCAGTGCCTCTGACCGACAGTTCTAAGGTTCGTGTATCCACGATACAGTCGCTTTGAGGAGGAGACGTCTAGCGGCCAGCTGCACTGATCGTGGTTTCTTCGATCGTTTTTTGTGGTTTCTTCTATCAGTACCAGAGAAGTATCCCAACAAAGAGGCCAAGGACCGTTCCTGATTATTCCAGCCTCTTCCTTGCCATATCTTTACCCTTTACTTAGACACACTCGATGGGAGATACCTGGATTGGAAAAAACCTACAAGCTGAAATGTAGATCGGCGCCGGATCTCGCCATCCAGCGGGGTAAGATCACCGTGATAAAAATATACACCATACCTACGAGACTAATGACCTATGCAGTGGTCGCGCCCGGAAACACTATTCAATAGGGGGTGGGAACCAAATGAAAGCGAATTGTATCTGTAACATACTGAATCATCTGGATCATACTGAAAGGATGTTATTTTACTGAGCACCTGCCTAATTTTTTATTTCTCTTTATTACGTACTTACGTAATAAAAAGGTGTTTTAATGCTGCTGCTGCAGGGATCGGTGATTTTTCGACTGAAAAACTCTTATTGCCGCGCCCCGGTAAAAAAAATAGTGGATAAATCTTGTTTCTACATGTAGTAAATTACTCCTGATATGTTGTGTAATCACTCTCTTGTTTGGTGTCAATGTAAATAAAAAGTAGACTGTATGAAAAAGAGGACTTATATACGCATAGCTAGAACCCTACAATAACTAAGTCGATCTCTAGTTAATTCATTGAATAGGATTTGGTCTGCTGTATTGTTCTTAAATGGTTCACGCAAACACACGCGTATATAAGGGTAATATTTTTTCTTCATTTTTAATGCACCGGCCACTCCTGAACATACCTATATTTTACATAATAATGTTTTGAGACGCAATCCCTGAAGACTTCGCTGGCTCGAAAATTACGCTCGGGAAAGGCAGGCGACTTACTCTTGAGAAGGAGCGTTTGCACATGTAGGGAGAGGCTGCCGAGGCGCAGCACAGATGCGCACAAGTACGCGTGACGGGTTCCAGTTTACCTCAAGCACAGATAAATAGATATAAAATGTATGTAGAAATATTGATACGAGTACATAAGATATGCTGGTGTATATACTCTCTGTGATCAAAAGTATCCGGACATGTGATCCACTGAACATGTACTTGTTCATGCCGCCCTCCATCGGTAATGGAATTCAATAGGGTGTTGGCCCACTCTTAGCCTTGATGATAGCTTCCACTCCCGCAAGCATACTTTCAATCAGGTGCTATTAGATTTCTTGGGGAATGGCAGCCAATTCTTCACGGAATGCTGCATTAAGGAGAGGTATCGATGTAGGTCGGTGAGGCCTGGCACGATGTCGGCGTTCCAAAACATCCCAAAGGTGTTCGATAGGATCATATATATATATATATATATATATATATATATATATATATATATATATATATATTGAGTGTGCGTGCGTGTTCGTGTGTCTGTTGTTCTAACTTGATGTAAAATAGTGAAATTGATCACAATTGAGCATTTGTGATTACTGCACAGTTTAAATACACATTTTTGTTGTACGCACATTGCTGATGTACGTAGAAATTCTACGAATAGGACTCGAAATGCACAAAGGCATGAACATTTTACGTCGCGCGCGATCAGGCGTCTATTAACGACGGAGAAATCTCTCATTCTGATTTAACCGTGCTTTGCTCTCGGCGATGCTTTGGACCGTCAAGAAGGCGGGAGTGTCTTGGGCTAACGACATTAACAGGTTTGAATTTTACTGGACGGTCTAGAAAAAATTGTATGCGGCACCAGAATAAGCGAGGGTAACGGGGGTTTCCGGAGCCACTCGTTGCGCACTGCGAACGGCAGCCCGGCCGCCCCCGCGGCACCTAGCCACTGAGTGCAATTGTTTCATGGTAGAGGAAAGGACGCACAGAAATGGCTCAGATCTCGCTTTCGTGGGAGTCTCTGAGTTGTCGAGACGTGAATGCAAGAAAGCATACTTTACTGTACAACTATATGTTTCTTTAAATCCTTTATTTAAAAATTAATCTTATAAATACCATTTATGTGATATTTATTATCATATATGTTACCCAAGTGACTATATTACTTCAATCGTGCCTAAAAATGTAATCATTACTATTGAGATCATATCGAAGGCATGTGATCGCCACTTATTATACTCCATGGCTACTAAACAAGCTGTTAACGCGACCAATCCTTGGTTATTAAACGCATTATTACTGTTGAAAAGATCATGTTGATATGCTTGATTTTACACAGCACATTGATTCTTGTATTACTAGGCATTTAAGTTAGCTCGTAGCTAGTAACTCGGATTTATCTGCAGCGTCTCTGATCCGGGAGGTCTTAGGATTCGCGTATCGACCTTGACAGATTTTCCTTCGTTATTTACAAATATCTAGACCGTATTCATTCGCTGTCTGGAGGAGAATTCTAGCAACTGACTGCTCTGATCTGCAATTTCCTAAGTTTCACCAATCAATATCAGGTGGATGCTAGTGCAGTACTCTAACAAATGGGGCGCGCTCCACGCGCCATCTTTTCTACCTCTTCCTTGTCCTATCCCTACCACTTGCACAAACTTACATGCACTATTCTACCCCTTACGGCGAGAGACCAGTCGGAGCTTGGAGTTGGTGTCCCTCTGGGAGAGATACTTAGAGGAGTAAATACCCCGCAAATCGACATGTAGTACATCGGCACTAAACAACGCCTCCCGCGATTAAGCAATCACTACACCAACGGGACTAATAACCATAGCTGTCGACGTGCCCAGAAAGATGTCCTCTACACTTCCTAGAACACTCCCATTCAAAAGTGGATACAAATCTACCTATCGTTAAAAGTACAGAGCGGATTTCTATGATTTTGCATGTCTTTGTCCATTGTTTCACGGTATAGCTCAGTGAAATTTCTTGACATTTAGTTAAAATTGGATGCTATGAAGATTATTATATTACTGCACATTTTGCATATTTGGACGATTTTCCCTGTTGGTACATATTCGTGCAATTATAGTCACATATTTTGTATATTTCATTAAACTAGAGACTTATCACTAAAGTATTTCAACTTTCATACGATCTATTTATTTGTGAGCGTTCACTGATAAGAAAGAGCTTGTCACAGTTTATGTTTATTTTTCCTAGAGATGATAGTAAACTTGTTCACATGTAGGATATTTCTTGATATTTTTTTAACTGACAGAAGAAATGCAACAAGACGTGCACAAAGGTGAATATTTATTTCAATTATTTTTGTCACAAAGTAAGGAAGATATATTATGTTTGCACAAAAATACATTTTTTCATTCCAAGTTTGCTTGTCCTGAAATTTTGTCAGGAAAGGTATAAACAAGAAATAAAATATTGTTAAGTTAAATTGCATATTTAAGTGCATATTTCATATTTTTATGTCATAAATACCAAGATTTTTAGGGAATTAAAGTCCTCTCCCTAGAATGAGGATTTTAAGGGACTTTGCTAATCCCCGCTATATCATTGAGATCAACGATTTTGATAAATAAACCAAACGATTTAAACACTGAGCCAAGCCGAATGTATTATTTACTGTTCAGTCTGTAAATTTGATTAATTAATTTTAAATAACACATTTTCGAAAGATTTCCGATCACTCCGATTCGATATTGAAGTTACTGAAGGATATATCCGGAATGGAGAGTGGCTAGAATTCTAAACTACGTGGTTGGTTTAAAGAAGCGGCAACTGGAAAACATCACGAACTGTTCCGTGAGACCTATAACAGCTGCTGAGGCAACGGTGCTTGCTGATTCGTAGTTTGAGTTTTATGTGCCCGCTAACTTCGGATTGGTTACCGTCCCAGATCAATCAGAGAAGTTCGGGTATTTTGTGCAAATTTTCAAGCAACCAGTTCACTCGCTCGTGAAAGCATTCCACTTCAAGAATTCCTCAACTGAGAGACCCAACTACTGAGTTCACGTAACTAAAAGGGGATATCGCGAAAATCTGCCAAACAGTTTCTGAACGAGCAACTAACATTTACGGCTAACATCATATGCATGAGAAATCCCTCCCAAGGGAATTTCGAGATTATTGGCAGTAGCGAAATGCGGCATTTTTGCGTGGTTATTGCTAATATGCTTAATATTGGGGACTATCTTCCTGAAGCGACGGAGAGGGGGG